TGGACTACAGCCCACTTATGCTCTAATAAATTTGTTAGTCTCTAAGGTGCCACAAGTACTCCTGTTCTTCTTTTTGCGGATACAGACTAACACGGCTGCTACTCTGAAACCTGTCATTAACTTCCCTGTGCATTTTGTCAGAGGCAAGTTTTCTTCTGATTTAATGCATTGCCAACACTTGGAAGCTTGATTTAAGCCTGTTTGCAAAGATTTGAGATGGTGTGAACTCAGTAGAAGCATATATAGGCAATTACAGGTGACATTGTCCGACTGTGGACAATGCCTGAGAATGTAAACGTCATTACATTTGATTTGTCAGCCATGCATTATAAACTAAGAACTCTCCCCATCAGTGTATCCCAGAAGTCCTGTCAAAGATTTTTGCTCTGTTCCAACCCTCTCCTCTTTTTGAAAACTTCCAGTGAAGGAGATTGCATGACTTCCCTAGGCAATTTTTTTCGTTGTCCTTCCTGTTTCTCATTCTACAGCTGAGAAGAAACTGTTTTATAAATGTCTCCATCTATGTCCTGACAGGACAAGCTGTCTATTCCATAAGGTGGTGCAAGATTACTTTAATTACTTTAAAATATACACTTTAAATATGCAAACAAATCAACATATATCCTTGTGAGATTGAAGATTAAGGTATACAATGCTGCTTTGTTACGTTGTTGTACCTTTGCTTTATACCAAGAATGCCTAGAATGCTGCTAGTTTGCTATAAAAATGTAGCATTTTATGTAAGAACATTTTAAAATTACAGTAAGGCCACAAATCAAATACATTAAATCCTATACTTTTAAACTCCTAGTCGATTGTTTCAATTTCCTATGTGCAACTTGTGCTCAGATAAGAATTAAGCAGACAAGCCTTCATATCTTTGTCAGCTGACTCTCTAAACTTACTGTGTGGGAGGCTTGTTGTAGGTTTTTGTCATTCAAAAGTCTTTCATATTTGAAGCAATATCAGGTGCTTCAGTGTGTGGGGAAAGTTGGCATTAATTCTTCCTTATAATTGACATCAAACTTGTTTACCATGGAAACTGGCTAATCTACACTGACTGGGACAGGCTGTAGGAGGCGATTGAGACAATTGTGTACATGATCTTGTATCCCAGTACTCCTCAGGAGGTTCACAGGGGTTAATCGAGGCCTTCCAACCTTCATTCCATTCATAGGGCTGGAGGAGAGTCTCCTTGCCCTCTTGGTATAGAAGGAGCTAAGTGGCAGCCTATGAAACGCCCCCACTCTTTGAGCTCCCCTGCAGCAGAACTTCGGGAAGTTGTAGGGAGCATAACGTTATAGCAAATTCCTGAGTTAAAAATATGAAATTTATTACTTTATATGACTGGTTATTCTGGCCTACAATCACCTCTTCACCCACTATCCCACCCTGCAGCAGGGCCTCACATGCTCTACCCTCCGTGTTCTTCATCCTGTCCTTTCCCTGATAACTCTCTCCCTCCATCCTTTTCAGCTTTCCTTTTTTAGAAACTCATTTCCCTCTCCACCATTTCTCAGACCCACACTCTCTCTTCACAGGCTCACGCGCGTGTTCTCTCTCTCTCTCATTTCAAAAAAAGATAATATTAACTCATGGTGATGCAATTGTGTAACTCTTGTCTTCTCTCTTTCTTTTAGTGCTATCTGAGATTCAAAGCTCTTCATAGCAGGGAACGTGTCTAAAGTGTCTGGTGTACTTTGGGTGGACACTGCTTGACAGAGTAGTAAGGGATTTGTTTCTTGGGGTCCTTAACCAAAATCATCCTTCCCCTTGCTGTTGTATACAGCGGCAGTCTTGTGGCACTTTGTCCCCAGCGTGCCTAAATTTAAGTAGTGGCATATGTAGTGTATTTAAATAATTTGTGCGCTTCCATATTTGGAGAATTAGTAAATAAGTAAACAGACAAGCTGAGAAAATCAAGCTACTACATTATGTAAATGAGCAATGTTCAATTTGTTGGCCATTCAGTTTAGATCACTTCTAATGATGCTTCATAGTATGCTGATAAATATACTTCAATATGTTTGGAAAAATAGTATATAGTATCCAGCCTCACATCATATCAAAACTATTAGCTAGAGGGAGATGATATGGGGTCTTGTGTGTATGAATTATGAGGCATTGCTCATTTTACTGAGTTAATGAGATTTCCTAGATGTAAAAGGAATATATGCAATGTATTCTCCAGAGAACTGACTTCTGACTCAGTGCAGACTTTCAGTTAAACATTGAGGAGTTCTTTTCCTGTGGCTCTTTGTGTCTTTTTTTAATACGGCAGAGCTACTGAAAATTTAATTATTTTTACCCAAAAAATGTTATAAAGGGAGGGGAAAGCCATAGTTATGTTTCAGATAAAAAATAATGTGATCTGAAACCTGATAAAATTGCAGGGCACTAGAATAAGCATACAGATATCTTTGACAGGTTAAAATATCTGCACTGCAGCTTTAATCCTGATGAAACTTGGACACAAAATATGAAATACTTGCAGTCTAACCAAATGGAATATAATGTATTTCGTACTGGTCTCAGATGAACATATTCATTCATTTTATTTCTTCTTTCTTATAATTTGTGTATTATAGTGATATACTGATAAGATGTATTGTGACCACTTATTGCCACCAAAATTAATTTGCTATCTCTGAACAATCACAAAATAAACACCTGTTAACAAGAGTTCAATTTCTCCATATTATAAGCACAAAGTTTGTTGGAAAATAATTTCTACATCAGTCCTAGAAAGGCTGGTCCATGCTTTGTAATTAATGGGATGCTAATACTGTAATTTTTGAGTTCTCTTTTTTTTATCTTCAGCTAAGAACTATATTGCTTTGGATGATTTTGTTGAAATAACCAAGAAGTATGCAAAGGGAATCATCCCAACTAACCTGTTTGTGCAGGAGGATGATGATGATGAATTGGCTGGAAAGAGTCCCGAGGAACTACCACTGCGACTAAAGGTGAAAACTAGTTAAGCACCTATTGTGTGATATGTATTGAAGGACTCTTAGTTAATTTATTTATAGCCAAAATAGCCTTCAAATGATCTACCTTCAAAACTTGTATCTAGTCACCCAAAAGCATCATTGATAGAACTTGAGAGTGTATAGTTGCATATATACACATACACTGTGTGATATTTTTATACATATGGCATAAATTTAGAAGGAAGATGTTTTGAAAACACAAAAATTGTTCTTGGAAGATGACAATACATCTTCATACTCACCTTGCAGAGGACAACAATGCCTCTCTTTTGCCATATTTTTTATTTAGATGTATATCTGCATTTATTAATTACAGAGACCAGTAAATAAACAAATGAAGTGTGTAAACATGCATATACAAATGGGAAAACACAACAGTGGACTAGATGTGTAAGACAGCTCACTTTCTGTTGCTGAGGGAATTAAAGGATGAAACTGGCTGGCAGTGATTTGCGCAGGCCAACACTTTACTGTTAAACAGTACAAACAAAATCTAAACAGGAGAACTGAGACACACATGCGTTCATTGATCTGAATTTCAAAATGGCAGCAGGTAGGGAGCAGAATGCTGCCATCAGCAAATCAGTTCTTTATTTGTCCTCCTTGGACATCATGTTCAATGTTAAGGGACAAAAAAAGGACTATATCTCCTCTAGTGCTTCCAGGTAACTGACTTAATGTTCTGAAGGAGATGTACTTAGGAAGGGACACTTCACCAGTGAATAGCCTTACTCTTAACTTCCTGGGCTTTCTGCCCCAGTTAGTATGATGTATAAATCTCTGTTGAAAGCTTCTTGGCCTCTCCCTGAAGTACTTGATACAAAGGCATATGTTTGGCACACCATGGAAACTGAATTTTTTTGTGGTGTTTTGGGGCTCTGAAGCTACACTTGCCAGCATTTTTAGTTCAAAATTTGCTTGAGATGTAATCTCTTTCTAGATGGTCCTTTCCATCTGTCCTGCAGAAAAGGAATGTCTTTTCTTACAATAACTCCAGTGTTCTTTGACAAGTCACCCTGCTGGGCAGGTAATCCCCTGCAGGATAAGTGGAATATTAAAGGCTCTGTGATATAATTGATTGTGGTTAAAGGAATAATCCTAGATCTGTGCATAGGGAAGGAGATGAAATAGTACTAGCTGCTTATAACAATAATAATAGAGGTTGAAAAGGACTAATAGTTTTTGATAGCTGCTTGCTTACCTATTTGGGAAGGAACATTTTGGAAAAAATGCAAACTACCTGTAAAGACTTACGGCTTGTCCACTTGACATGTTACTGCATAGCAAGCCAGGGTGTGAATCTGCTGCGTGGCAAGCACCAGCTTAATGTCCTGTGAGAACACTGCAACAGCACTGTGAAAGTTCTGGAATATGGCTTATCATACAGCTTACCATGCTTTCACTGGGCTGTAGCAATGTCCAAATGGGACAGTACTGTGCGGCAAGCCAGCGTGCCGCAGAGTCACACGCTGGCTTGCCTTATAGTAACCTGCCGCATGGACAATCGCTTAGTGTCATTGTGTATAACAATGCATGGCGCGTGACGGAATCACTGGAGAAGCGGACAGTTTACAGCTGAAGGAATGGCACAAGATGGCACAGAATTGCAGCACTGTAGTTCATCTTTATAATACCAATGGGCACTTCAGTAGGAACCTAATTGAACAGAATGCTAGATTAGGAAGCCTTTTAATAAAAAAATTATATGACATATTGGTGATGAGATTTGTCTTCCTTTCTGAAAACTTTTTAGATATCATAATGGAGAGGTAACATAATCTGTGCCTCATCTGATGAAGTTAATATCAAAAAATGGTCACAGAGAAAACCCCATTTTGTTGTGCAACACCTCTTGAAATAGAAGTATTTCAGAGCAAGCTAGGCTTGACTTACTGCTACTGCTTTAACATGAATATACCTACTGTACATGTACAAAAATGTTGTTAAATAAACTGTTTTTCCTTTCTTTTCAGGTTGTAAAATATCCACTTCATGCCATTATGGAAATTAAAGAGTACCTTATAGATATTGCATCTAAGGCAGGAATGCATTGGCTGTCTACTATTATTCCAACACACCACATCAATGCCCTCATCTTCTTCTTCATCATCAGTAATCTGACAATCGATTTTTTTGCCTTCTTTATCCCATTAGTCATCTTCTATCTGTCCTTCATTTCCATGGTGATTTGCACACTGAAAGTCTTTCAAGACAGTAAGGCCTGGGAAAACTTTCGCACCCTGACTGACTTATTGCTTCGTTTCGAGCCAAATCTAGATGTTGAGCAAGCAGAAGTGAACTTTGGGTGGAATCATTTAGAGCCATACGTTTACTTTTTGCTCTCCGTTTTCTTTGTCATTTTTTCCTTCCCTATAGCAAGCAAAGACTTCATACCATGCTCAGAGTTGGCTACCATCTCTGTTTTTTTCACAGTCACAAGTTATATGAGTTTAAGCACTTGTGCAGAACCCTACACACGAAGAGCTTTAATGACTGAGGTGGCTGCTGGCTCCCTCTCTCTATTGCAGATACTACCTATAAATTTGGGCTATTTCAAATTCTTAGGTAAAACCTTCTTTACTTTTCCTATAGGCCACTTCTTCATACTAAATGTGAGCATCCCATGCCTTCTGTTCCTGTACTTGTTCTATCTCTTTTTTAGAATGGCACAACTGCGGAATTTTAAAGGCACCTACTGTTACCTGGTTCCCTACCTGGTGTGTTTCATGTGGTGTGAACTCTCAGTGGTTATTCTGCAAGAGTCCTCCTGCATTGGTCTCATTCGTGCATCAGTTGGCTATTTTCTGTTTCTCTTTGCACTCCCAGTTCTAATCATAGGCATTGCACTCATGTGTCTTGTGCATTTCATAAAGTGGTTCATATCTTTGGAGCTCATGAAGATTGTGGTGACTCTTGTGTTGTGTGGTATTCCTTTGTTTTTACGATGGTGGACAAAAACTAACTTCTCCATGGTTGAAATGATAAAATCCCTAACCAGGAGTTCTATTGTGAAACTCATTTTGGTGTGGATTACAGCTGTAGTGTTGTTCTGTTGGTTCTATGTGTACCGATCAGAGGGAATGAAAGTCTACAACTCTACCTTGACATGGAATCAGTATGGCTTCGTCTGTGGACCCCGGTCATGGAAGGAGACTAACATGGCACGCACCCAAATTATATGTAGTCATCTGGAAGGACACAGAGTTACATGGACTGGGCGGTTCAAATATGTCAGGGTTACAGAAATTGACAATAGTGCAGAATCTGCAATAAACATGCTTCCGCTTTTTATTGGTGATTGGATTAGATGTTTGTATGGTGAAACCTACCCTGTGTGTGACCCAAAAAATGTTACCATGGAGGAGGAGGAACTGTGTCGTCTCAAGTATCTGACAAAGTATGACTGTCACATGAAAAAGTTTGATCGATACAAATTCGAATTAACTGTGGGCATGCCTTTCAATGGCAAAAATGGAACTAAAGCTGTAGAGGAGGAGGATATAACCAAAGATATTGTGCTGAAGGCAAGCAACGAGTTTAAGAAAGTGTTGTTGAACTTAAGGCAAGGAAGTATAATTGAATTCAGCACAATTCTGGAGGGTCGTCTTGGCAGCAAGTGGCCTGTCTTTGAACTGAAAGCAATCACTTGCTTAAATTGCATGTCTAAACTTACACCCGCAGGAAGGCATGTGAAAATAGAGCATGACTGGAGAAGCACAGTGCAAAAAGCCATTAAATTTGCTTTCGATTTTTTCTTTTCTCCATTCCTGTCAGTTGCATATTGAGCTCATATACCGGTTCAATGGTATCTTCAATGTATACTGCATTAACACTACCAAAGGTTTGGCTTCTTAACAAAACTTGCTGTAGCAATGTTCAAAATGTATGCTATTCCAGAGTATTGGTTGAGTTTTGTACGTGTAAACACTGTACCCAGTCCTTGTATCCCGTAGGATTGAGGTTATAAATTCTATTTAAGTATTACTATAAATTAATGCACAGAATTGCTGCAGAGTAGATGCATGAACTGTTTTTATCCAAAATGAACTCTTTCTGTGGTACAGTACTAGGGTATATTCATCTGCTTGACATTAAAAGCACTTTACTCGTGAAATATTCACGGCATTGCCCTTATGTACTTTCACATGTAGAATGGATATCTTGTAAGCAACCTAAGATGTAATGTTTCTTGTATTTATTCAGTGGTTTCTAGAGAAGTATTAATTGTACAACTAGATTGAATCTGGTGCCGTGTGATTGGGGTGTATAGAACTGAACTTCTTTGCTATTTATTAGATTTTATTTGAATGGGTCTTTTGGTGGTGGACACCACTTCACACACCAGCAAGGTTGCAACAAGAGCTCTAGTTTCCATTTCACTTTTATTAAGTATTCTTCTTAAAATGAACATGCTATTCACTGTAACTGGTTATGATAGCTACATATGAGACTATCAGTTATAATTCATGATAGCATGTGAATGCTAGGCACCAGTTAGTAAGACTGGTATTGTGGCGGTACTAGTAATAGGCAAGCCAAATCAATTGAAAAGCACTGTATAAAAAAATCTACAATGGAGATGAAATAAAATGTCTGGTTAATATGTATTGTGCAAATATATGTAAATATAAACATGAATTAAAATGGGATTCTACACTCATTGCTTATGCTTTGACATTGTGAGTAGTTACTTCCAATCCAATGGTAACAGCTTTAAATTATAAACCATATTACATTTTAGTATTTGGTTTAAAACACAATTCCAGTTTTGGAGTGCTAGAAATTATAATTCATATTTCAAGATACAGCAGTAAAATCAGAATATTGCAAGCTGCGAACTTCTTGTAGCTACATGATCTGTATATATACTTTCCTTTTTTTCTTTCCACTTTATTCTAATTTGTACAGTCTTGATTATTGCAGTATTTGACTGTCAGAAAACCCTCTTCTTGACCCAGTCTTTCATTCCTCTATCCTTCCCTTCTTTTAAACATCTACTTCTCGCAAGGTCTATTAACCCCAGTCCTTCTCTTCAGAGCACTACCTATCTAGACTCCAAGTTGTTCAAGGCAAACGCACTGTTTTCATACCTGTATTTAAAGCCCCTATCATATTGCAGGGGCTGTACAAATAATAATGGAACTAATGACTTTGATCTATAATTTAGTAAAATTAATGTCACAACAAAAAAAACCACATAGCCATTGTTTTGGTGTAGCTGGGCCCCCCTTCTCTCTCCTTATCTTCCTCCCCACCCCCACAGTTCTGTTCTTTGGTGTGGTTACCGAAGTTCCCACATACTCAACAATCCATGAGTGATGTCATCCAAAATCATTGTCTTAAAATGTCATGAGACTGGAAACTACTTGGAGGGGGTGGGGGCGAGTTGTTGCATTTGTTATTTTGAGCTGTGGGAAGCCATCTGCCTCAAAGTGCACGTGAGGCAGAATTCAACTGAAAATTCTCATGCTAAAATGCAGGCCTCTCTGCTGATACCCTTTTATCCTCCTAACCTGTGGAGCAGAGGAGCTGCCATTCTATCCCTCTACATGCCCTCTCCCTTGCACTTATCGCTGTCCTGTCTCCTTCCCCTCTCCATCTTCCTCTTTAGCATACTCAGACTCCTCCCCTACTCACATTTTCCCTTCATGCTCCCCCATGATCTCCCTTTCTCCAAACCACCCCTTATATATTTCCTTTCTGCCATCCCATATTCTCCAAAACCCTCCACCAGTCTCCTCCTGCTCCCTTTTAGGCTATGTCCTGCTTCAACTTGTCTCCTTACACATGTTGGGCTAGAGAGGAAACTGGAGTCAGAGGTGGTAGCCATCTTCACTGGGTAATCTCACTTCCTCATGCAAAGTCCAAAGCGAATGGTGGCTGCCTTGGCTGGGAGGCAGTTTTGCATTAGCTCCCTTTTGGCCATTTTGAATAGGGAAACCTCATGAGTTTGGAAGCAAGGATTCTGAGATCATGTGAGACTTTACCTTGACTGTGGCAGGTTTGCTTGTTTTTTAAAATCACAAAAGTTCGCAACACGGTGGTTGTCCCTGATCCTAATTCCCATGTGTTCTGTTAGGGGCCAGTGGCCAACAGGCAAAGCCCTGGCAGTTCAGTTTCATTGCAACTGTCACAGGAGCTAGAGGAGAGCCACAAAGGAGAGCTGGTGGTACTGGGCTTCTGTGTGGTGGCTCTGGCTTAGGAGCAGAATCTTCTACCAAATAAAAGGTGATGGGGAGGGATGCTGCAGGAGGGACCATGAAACACCACAAGGTTCCTATATGAAAAAATCTGGCATGATGAGCCTTGATTTTGAAATGTGTGTGTGTGTGTGTGTTCTTTCAACGCCTCTCCGAGAGAGGGGGAAGGTCAAACAATGTTTGCACTCTTTTAAAATGTCTACGCTTACTCTCACTTTGAAGTTAAGTGCTTGCGGTTTTTAAATTATACACATTTGAATGTGTAGCTTCTTTTCATATGTTTGAATCAAGAAAATTTGCATTCTCGCTATTCAATAATGTTAAAGATCCTGCTATTCTTAGTTTTTACTCAGACAAATCTATCCCCTTCAATGGAAGTTTTGCTTGAGTAAAGGAAGTCAGGCTAATGATTCATCTGGAAAGCTATTTAATGGAGCACAGACAAATGTACAGAGCACGGCACTAGCATTTAGAGGTGCTTTGTGATGCTAGGCAAGTGATTTAGTCACTTCCTGGATCCCAGAACACACAGCTGGCAGGAAGAGGGGCTCAGACCTCTGCAGAGGGATAGTGCTCCCCTATATCCCAGCACATGGGCAGAAGGGGAGAATTCAGGGCTGATATCCCTGCCCCCCCATTCTCCAGCTTCCTCCACTACTCTTCATATTCTCCAATCCTCCCCTTTTCTGCCCCCATTCCTTCTTTCCCATACCACCCATTCCCATTTATTCTCCCCTCCCCTCCCTTCCCCTCCCAATAAGTGTAATTTATTTTTCAAAGAGTTTCAGCGCATTCTGAATATTCTGTTGTACTCAGATTACATGTCTCCTAAATAAACCTTGAGAGAGGCAGATTTCCCCTCCTCCCCCATGTTTAAGGTTGGTTTTCAGATTTCTGCCCAGGCTGGATTTCAGACTTCAGACTCAGAGGTGTCCCTTGGTCCATTCATTTTAATGAAATGTTCTCAGCTGAAAGCAAATACACCATGGTGCTAAGTGCAGCCTGAACCAATAGCTCTGAGATGTGCAAACTGCTCCATTTATGTCTGTGGATGGGTTTTTTTGTTTTTTTGTTTGTTTTTGGCCCATCCCCACTGCTGGAGAATGTCTGATACAAGTTGAGCATACCTGTTGTTAGACACTTCTTGCCCTAGTGTCAGCTGTGTGGGTTTTTTTGATGCTCTTATCATGGCTGATGTTAGCTTCCCACCTAAAGATACAGGGCTTCCACCATCCTTGTTCACGTGGGCCGGGGGTGGGGAGAGGGAGAAAGAGGGGCTCAGATAACCACTGATGGAACAAAGACTCCCAGATCACATGGAAGCATAGGGAGAAAGGTCCAGTCCCCCACACCACTCCGCACATGTCTCGCAAGGGAGGTCAGACCACCATAGATGGACACAGGGGCCTCCAGCTCCTGGTGTGCATGCATGCACACAAGGAGGGAGAAAGGCTCAACCACCCCCAGAAAGGGAAGCTCCCCCTGAATCTGGCTTATATGAGGGAGGTCAGATACCTGTGGATGGGTAGGGACCCCTGGTGCACAGATGGGGGGGGGGGGGAGGACAGTGTTCAGACACCTCCAGTAACAACTCCCCAGAACCTAGCTCTCATGAAGGGAGGTTAGGGCAGACTCCTATACATGGGCTTCTGGCATACACATGGAGAAAGGGAGGAGGAGTTAGACACCTGGAGGGGGCAGATGCTCCCAGATCTCAGCTAACGTGGGGGTAGGAAGAGGGGCTCAGACACCACCCAGAAAGGCAAGTTCCCTCCAGAATCAGGCTTCCGTGAAGGGGAGTGAGGAGGATGTCAGGCCCCCATAGGTGGGTAAGCCCCCCCTCAGATCCTGGCATGCATATGGGGAGTAGGGAGAGGGGCTCAGATGCCCCAAATCCTGGTGTGTACAAAAGGGGACAATGTCAGGCTAACAGGCACACTGCCCTTATTCTCCCCCTTCCACTCACCATGGGTTCCTCCCTTCCTCACCTACCCTACCACCCATCTCTATCTATCCCCCTTCCCTTGATGCAGCCCCAAATCCCTCTCATCCTATTTCCTCTCCCCCAACTTCTTCACCACCTAAATTGCCCCTCCCCTGCCAGCAACATTGACATACCTAATTTTGTTTTACAAAAATACTTTGATCACATTCCCCCAAAATAACCAAAAAAAACCCCTGCATCACTCTGCCAGAGACAGGCTTTAGCAATATGCTATCTAACCTTTTCCAAATTTCTGCTTCAGGTGGTATGCATTGTTGTGGTAGCTGTATTGGTCCCAGAGTAGGGGGGAGAGAAGGTAGATGAGGTAATATCTTTTATTGTACCAGCTTCTGCTGGTCAGAGACGAGCTTTTGAGCTTACACCGAGAGGAGAGTTGTGTCTAAACTCAGAAGCTTGACTCTCTCACCAACCGAAGCTGGTCCAATAAAAGATATTACCTCAGCCACGTTGTCTTTTTGAGGGGAGGCTCACAGTGATGCTGGCTGGGTGTGTTTAGCATCCGAACACTCCTGCTTATCTGCTTGAGCTATCCAGCTGGTGTGAAATTGTGAAAGCAAACAATCCTGTTAACTCCTCTGCCCCTGCGTGCCTAGTTTAATTCCTCTGGCACTTCAGCTCAAGAGGCTTTTGAGACACTAAAATAAAGTAGCAACATCTTTTTCAAATAAAGTTTTAATTTGATTTCCCTGGAAGGGCTGGTGAATACCAGGCCCTCTGTTGGGGGTAACCCTCAAGCACTGGCCACACTGATAGGATGATCTGAGCTCTTGTTTGCTCTGTGTCCGTAAGCAAAAGTCAGTTGCCAGAAGGAGGGCACGGGTCAATGTTCATGTCACACTCCCTGTCAGTATCCGGCCCAGGCCAGGGAAGCTATTAATGATCCAACCAGTGGACCAAATTCGGTGATGAATCCTGGTCATTTGCCACCTGGGGCACATTATGCATATGCTAAGAAGCCTATTGTTTAAAAAAAAAAAGGCACTCTTGTGTCACCACATAGACTTAAAGCACTTAGAAGAACTGAGCTTTGACTTGAAACCTGGCTTGAACCTTAACTAGAGCAGGGCTATTGCGTTTCTGGCTGCACTTTTCCCCTCACCTCCTCCTCTACGCACTCCCTATCCGTGGCCCCACAAACTCACGGGACCTCCTGGTCAACCTTCTCCTGGCCCTGGCTAAAACGGCCATCTATAAAACCAGGGAGAGGAGGTTGGCCGATGGAGACTCCTATGATTGTGGGGCCTGTTTCTAATCCTCTGTCCGTTCACGCATCCGGGCAGAGTTCCTCTGGGCGGCGTCCACTGGCTCCCTTGACGCCTTCGAGGAGCAGTAGGTGCTGTCTAGGGTTCTCTGATCTGTGTCCCCACCAGACTCCCTTCTTTTGACCCTTTGATCGCACTCCTGTTATTTCATTAGTTGTCCCCCAAAATCAGTTGGTTTCCAGGTCATGTAGAT